GCTCCATCAGCTCCATCAGCTCCATCAGCTCCATTAGCTCCATCAGCTCCATCACCTCCACCAGCTCCATCTGCTCCATCAGCTCCATCATCTCCATCCGCTCCATCAGCTCCATCAGCTCATGGCTGAGCCCCCTCTGGCAGCGCTGATCCCACTGCAGCAGCTCCAGAAGGATCCCAGCACCTCAGGGGGAGCACAGCTGGAGGCAGAAAGGAGGAAAAGAGCCCCAGTGAGGCAGGGAATGGGAATGTCCTGGTCTGGCATGGCCCTGTCTGTGCTCCCAGTGCTCTGCTGGGCACCTGCTCTTGGGTTTGCTCCRAGGGACCCTTCACACCAGGGGGAACACCCAGTCAAAATGGGATTATGGCAAATAAATTGAATAACAACACCTGGACTGGGCCCACCAGCAGCCCCAAGGCACTCCTGTAAGGAAAGGGAAGGAAAAGCTGCATCCCAGAATTTTGCAAGGCTGAGAGAAATGATTGCGAGGGAGCAGGAATAAAAAAAATCAAACCAAAAAGCAAACATAGCATCCTATAATATATCCGTGAAAAAGGAAAAGTCATGCTACTTGAAGTCTGCAAATTCAAGTTTCTCCTGGGAAAATGTAACTCCTGTTCAAATGCTAATGGCTCGTTATCACAGGGATGTTTTAATTGAACTACAATGTTCCGTAAGCAGGGGCAGAGCAAGGTTCAGAGAGCAAATGGCTGATGAACAATCTTCAATCTGCCAGCAAATGTTTGCTTTTTTTTCATAAACTCCCCCTTCTTGATCTCTGCCTTGAGCAGATTCTCTGGAGGGAGCTGGGAAAGGCAGCTGATTTCAGCTGGAGGCAGCAGCAATATTTGTGTGGGTCTTTCATCCTCATTTGAAACAGGAAATTCGTGGCACTGCCCGAGTGGCCATGACCAGACTGTCCCTGAGTGCCCAGAAATTCCTGGGGTATGAGCAGAGACTGGGAAGCAAAGATGCAGCATCTTTTAAAAGAGTGATAGAGAAAGGGAAATCSAGTTGGGCATTGCAGCCCCAGAGCATTTCTGGAGGCTCCTCAGGACCAGCACAAACTCCTCACAAATAATTCCAGGGACCCACYCCTTCCCAGGAATCCATGATCCAGAGCTTGCAAGAGGGAGACTGGAAGAAAAGAGAGAGAGAGAGAGGCCATGATGTTTTTCATTTTCAACAGAAGTTGAAAATCCTTCCTTATTTTTTTCTGGAAACTCTTCCCAGGGAATTTCTGAGGGATGCCTCCACATTTGGAGGGTTTTGCCACCTCCTCACGTTGTCACAGCTGTAGGAAGGAAATTGGGAGCTGCTATTGCTGCCAAAGCTGTGGAAAGCCTTTGGGTGTGTTTGGTGMTGTTTGCAGGGAGCATTCAGCTGGSCTTGACCAGAAAAACTCATGTGGGAAGGGAGTGGGAGGGTTTTTCTATCAGACAGGAATAAACATTTGTCAGAAGTGTCAGCATCTCCTTCCCACCCTGTGAGGCTCCTCTGAGGCTCTCTCAGTGCCATTCCTGTGACGGCAGAGCCTGTGCCAGCCTCTCCTGGCCTGGGACCCACTGGGGACAGAACAGAGGGACTCAGCTGAGCCCCCACCTGCCCCAGCCCTGGGCCCAGCACAGGGAGGAGCTGGAGCTGCTGCACAGAGCCCAGGGGAGGCTCCAGGATGGGCAGAGGGATGGAGCAGCTCTGCTGGGAGGGAAGGCTGGGACAGCTGGGATTGTTCAGCCTGGAGAGGAGAAGCTTTGGGGTGACCTCAGTGTGACCTTCCAGGACCTGAAGGAGCTGCAGGAAAGATGGAGAGAGACTGGGGACAAGGGATGGAGGGACAGGACCCAGGAAATGGTTCCCAGTGCCAGAGGGCAGGGATGGATGGGATATTGGGCAGGAATTGTTCCCTGGGAGGGTGGGCAGGCCCTGGCACAGGGTGCCCAGAGCAGCTGTGGCTGCCCCTGGATCCCTGGCAGTGCCCAAGGCCAGGCTGGACATTGGGGCTGGGAGTGACCTGGGACAGTGGGAGGTGTCCCTGCCATGGCAGGGGTGGGATGGGGTGGGTTTAAGGTCCCTTCCAGCCCAACCATTCAGGGATTCCATGGCGTTTGGGGACCCTGGGGGCAGGTGGGTGCCAGGAGGGCTCTGCAAAGGCAGCACCCATTGCTTGGTACAGCGACTGCTTCAGAGCAAACAGGGAAACTTCCCAGGCTCCAAAGCCTCTCTCAATTCACACTCYGGAGTTGCCAGAGAGCCTGGAACTGGGGGGGTTAATGAGCAGCGTTTGGTGTCGGTGTTTGAAAAGCAGAGAGGGGCTGCAGTAGCTGAGAGCCGGGCAGGACAGGGCTGTTCCACCCGGATCCGCGGTGCCCTCCTGCTCCAGCCCAGCCCTGCTCCAGCCCTGCTCCAGCCCAGCCCAAGGGACAGGGCTAATATCTCAGGGAGCACTGGAATTTCACGGGGATGGAGCTGCATTGCCAGCCCCCGAGGCCGCCTGCCCGCCCTCCCCCAAACCTATCTTATCTCTGCCTCTGCCCGAAATAATAGGAACGGAAAAATTAACAACATGRAAAAGGGAGGAGATGATAGAGAGTATCTGAAAAATTATCTGTGTCCTCATTTCAGAGCTTTGCATGGTAACAGAGAGGCAGGAGGCTTTTTTTCTTTGTTAATCTCTTAAAATATTGAAAAGCTGTGTGTCTCTTGAACCTACTGTGTTGTCAGRGAGTGAGAAAGCTCTGAGGAAGTCTTGAGGAGTCTCTTGCACTTGAGGAACTCCCCAGCAAAGCCRTGCACGGAGCACAGCAAATCAAAGCTAAAAGCAAAGTTTGCTGTCCTGCTGTTCTTGGGCACATGGACAGGAGTGACACGGGAACCTTGGGACAAAACCTCTGCCACCAGGATGCTCAGGGGTCTGCCTGGAATCTCTTCTGATTTCTTTGATCTCCTTAATCTTGAAGGCGTGAGTGAGACCAGGCCCTGGGTCTGAGCCAGGGATGAGCCAATTTCCTGTTTGGTCTGTTCGATTTGGCACTGGGGTGCTTCCCCTCTCCGATTCCCATCATTCCTTGGCAATTTCCAAAACAAGCAGTTGTTGTTCTCCTTAAATTCTTGCCAACAAAGAATTGAGCCTTTGATGTTGCTGTGGGTGTTGTTTCCTGTGACACCCTCGGGGTGCCATTAATGATGTCATGTGTGGTACTTGTACATGCTTATATTTAATATATTTATATTATTTATATTTATATTTATATTTATATTTATATTTATATTATTTCTAGATTTTTATTTTTATTTTTTTTTCTATTTCTATATATTTCTGTTTCTATTTCTATTTCTATTTCTATTATTTCTTTATATTTATATTTATATTTATATTTATATTTATATTTATATTTATATTTATATTTATATTTATATTTATATATTTATATATTTATATATTTATATCTGTATTTCCACACATACAGACTGACAAAAGGTGTCTTTGTTTCCTTTTCCCTGGCAGGTCACTATGGAAAGGATATTTATCGCAGCGGAGGGCCGGATCTCCACAATTTCATCTCCTCCGGGTTTGTCACGTTAGGAAGAGGACACTCGAAGGGTACAGTGGAAACCATTTTTTGCTAAATGAAAAGCTTGTTTGAAATGCAAAGCTGTGGCTGGGCTCTGAGCGGCCSGAGCTGGCCGTGCTGGCCTCAGGCTGGGGGGTCAGCCCAGGAAATGGTCAGTGCTGGGCTGGGCAGCACCKGCGGGGTCCTGGAGGGGATGGGGCAGGGCAGGGCTGAGCCCAGGCTCCATTTGGGATTTGCACTGGGACTGTTCCTCCAGCTTTGTGTTTTCCTGGGTGCATGGGTGCAACCCCCAGCCTGGGCCGTGCTCCCAAGGGGAAGGGAAGGGATGTCCAGGGATATCCGGCCATCCCAGGGCAGGCAGTGACCACTCCCAGACTCTGGGTCTGGAGTTCTTTGCGTTCTGAGCTTTTCTCTTTTTTTGTTTGTGTTTTTTTGTTTTTTTTTCTGATTGGGGGATGAAGAATATTTTATAAAATTATTTCTTTTAAGGTCCTAAAGCCTATCTTTTCTGTGTTCCTATAATCTGTGATATAATGTACAAACAGGAAAACACAAAAATATACATATGCTGCTCTGTGTACGTTCTGTGTATATGTACTGTACATAAATATTTGTGGAGAGACAGCTGTAGCTCTGTGAGACCAGCACCCAAACACCTCGGGGGCTCTGGTGACACCAAAGCTGAGCTCTGGTGACACCATCCCCCCGAGGGATGTTCCCTGGTGACGCTGTTGCCTGTTTGGTGAGTTTTTCTGGCGCACAGTGAGATGTGTTTGGAGTGTCCCTGTGTTCCCCCAGTCCCCCGGCACCCTGGCTGTGACACTGGGGGTGCATGTGCCATCTCTGTGTCCCCTGCCCCACTCTGCTGTACTCCCACAGAGCTGATGTATGTGCAGACCCCTCTGTAGAGCAATGTACTGTACGTGCAGCTGTGTCCTTGTGCTCGCCTGGTTGAACGCTCCTCTGTTGTTTCTGTGGATGACCATGACTCACAAATGATTAAAAGACCTGGATTTTTAATTTTTTTTTTTTTTATTTTCCTTACATTTCTTGCACTTTTTCCAGTTCTCCCTGAGTGTCATCCAAAGCAGTGTTGGTCCTGTAGAATTGTCAGAGAAGAAACAAATATATGTATATTGTCTGTGTATGTCTGTGTGTGCTTAAATAAAGTTTACTGAGGCTGAGGCAGCGCCCGTGGGACTTGTAATCCAATATCCTGAAATCCCAGATTTCTAATCCAATACCCTGAAATCCCAGATTTTAACCCAATGCCCTGAAATTCCAGTCCTACAATCTAATACCCTTCAATCCCAGCCCTGTAATTCCATATCCTGAAATCCCAGATTTCTRATCCAATACCCTGCAATCCCAGTCCTGTAAYCCAATACTCTGTAATCCAATATCCTTAATTTCCAGATTTCTAATCCAATATCCCAYMATCYCARTCCTGTAATCCAATACTCTGTAATCCAATATCCTCAATTTCCAGATTTCTAATCCAATATCCCATCATCTCAATCCTGTAATCCACTACCCTGTAATCCAAACCCCTGAAATCCCAGATTTCTAACGCAATGCCCTGAAATTCCAGCCCTGTAATCCAATACCCTGCAATTCCAGACTTCTCACACAATACCCTGCCATTCCAGATTTATAATCCAATGTCCTGAAATTCCAGATTTCTAATCCAATGTTCTACAATCCCACTCCTGTAATCCCACACTCTGCAGTCCCAGATTTCATACCCTGCAATCCCATGCCTGTAATGCAATATCCTGAAATACAATCCCTTCCAATCCCAGTCCTGTGATCCAACCCCCTGCCATCCCACTCCTATAATCCCACACCCTACAATCCCAGTTGGGCTCTGCTCTGGGGGGAAGGGAAGCAGAGGAAGGCGTCTCTTCCAACCTCAGGTGGGCTGGGAGCTGCAATGGTTTGAGGATGGAGCCATGGGTGGCATTTCACACAAGGTGTCCCCATCCCAAAGGAGTTGTGCTGTCCCAGCAGGAATGTRTTTAGGGTCAGGTAGCAAAGATACCCCAGGAGGGGTGTCCATGGAGTGGGGTCTCCCGATAGCCTCCACCAAGCATGGATAACCCCAAGAAGGGCTGTAACTCTGGCCCCTTTGCCTCAGACAGGTGAATTATCCCCACTCACACAACTGAGGCACCTCCCAGAGTTTGCTGGACAAAAGCTCCTTCCCAGCTGAGAGCAAACCCTTCTTTCCTCCTTGAGCTGCCAGGTTTTGGGGACTCTGCTCTCCTGGAGGTGGGCCAGTGGTGCTTGGGCAGAGCACATTTCCTGTCCCTGGGAAGTGGGAGAGTGGGCAGTGGGAGTGCAGAGTGTTTGTACACCTCAGCCAGCAGGCAGGGAGTGCTTCCCAAYGGGAATAAAAGGCTTTTGATCTCTGAAGAAATTCAACAATATCTTGGCTGTTCATAGACATCAGAATGGACTGGCCTTAGAATTTACCTTCTAGTTAAATTCACCGGGTTTTTTTAACAATTTAATGTTCATTTTGAATTCCTTAATGGCAAATTCCCCCACTGCTGAGTGGTGAGGGTGATGAACCTCTCCCACCTGTGGCAGGACCTGCTTGTGCTCGTGTGTGGCTTTGTCTGTGTCTGTGACATGACCTGATTGTCTGTGTGTGCTGTGACAGYGGGGATTTGGGGTGGCACAAAGCACTGAGGGCTTCTGTCACTRGGATTGGGCCTGAAATGGTTGGATTCCTGGAAATATTGTGTGACAGTTTGCCTGTGTGCAGCTTGAAGTGATCACCCA